GGAGGGGAGGGAGAGGAGGGGAGGAAGGGAAGGGAGAGGAAGGGAAGGGAGAGGGAGGGGAGGGAGGGGACAGGGGTACGGGAGAATGCATCAATTACAAAAGAAAAAGAACCCAGCATTTTAAAATACACTCTAAACAATTTTTGTATATTTTGTGAGCTTGAAAAGGATCCTAAATCTGCTTTAAGTATTAATTTTAGCTTCATGTGAAATTTTGGTTCTTAACTCCTTCAAGACCTGTGGTTACCTTGCGTAGCAATTATTTTAGGATGGATGTGAGATGCGTGTAGACTATGTAGAAAGCATCCTTTGAGTCAGGGAAAGAGAAATGTATAAAGACTAAAGGCCAACTTTAAATGACTGAAACACATCCCGTGTGGACACACCCACGAGCAATGAGCCTCAGAGAAACACTAGATTTTGCTCCAGAGTCACCTCCACAGACAATGTGCTTATTTCTTCTCATTAAAGTTTGACCAATTAAAGACCAAGTTAATTGATACACTGATGTATCAGTCTGTGGACTAATCAGCCCCATTTGTTTTCTTTTAGTTTAACCATTTCCTTGCTGTTCCTAAATCAGAAATACTTGGAAATCACAGGCAGGTCCTATGAGATTTCCACTGAGCAAGTGACAGGAGGACATGGGCTCTGATGAAGGACCCCAACACAAGAGGACCATCACCCCTGTGCGGGGGATGATCTGTGTGTGAGTGCTGCCTCCATGATGGGCTCAAAGCCCAGGGCTGGTGGTAAGCCAGAGGACACCCACACCTGTTCCCCACGTGCAGAACGGCCACAACCAGGCATCCAACTCTGTGGTAAATTGAAAAGTCTATCTCTATGGGTTCAAACAAAAGACCATGCTCTATTTTATTAGAACACCTAATTAAAGGGGTCTAGTAATGTTTAAGCTATAAAAGACAGAGCAATCGGTCAGTTCCTTCCTTAAAAGCTTTGTTGTCCTCTGAGTAAAGTTCAGGAGCTATGCAGGGCCACTAGTGCCTCATTTCTCAGGTGCCCTAAGCCCCTGTGAAGCAGGTCCTCCCATGACCCTGGGTGTAGGTGGGGGAACCAATGTGCATAGCACCAGCAGCCAGGTCCACATGCTGCCTGTCCACTCACAGAAGAGCCCAGCTGCAGGGACAGAACAGCCACAGCCTCGAGCAACGGAGAGCTGAGTCTCCACTCTGGCAGCTGCATGGGGGAGTGAGGCCCCTGGGAGCCAACTTCAGCTCAGTTCCCTACTTGGGTTAGAAAGGACCCCTCACCCTGCCTGTCCACTCTATTAAAGGCTGAGTGGCACCTGTGTTCAGCCCCTGTCCAGACTCAGTGTTAAGACCCTGTGCATAGAGGTGGTTGTGTTAAGTAGCCTGTTATCCTCTACGGGTCCTACAGACCAGGATGGTGTGAGCAGCTCACTCTGAGTGCCCACACGTGCAGAGGGCACGGTAAGGTCCACCATGGCCACCAGTGCACCTTCCCTCCTCACAGAAGCAATCTGACTGAGGTTGATGGCAAGGAAGGCAGAGAGTAGGAGCAGGGCCTGGACAGAGGCTCAGCCTCCCCATGACGCACCCAGGGGAGACTGAGATGCAGGGCTGTGACTTCCTAGGAAACCACTGTCACCACAGATTCCCCCCACCAGAACTGTCATAGAGGAATCACAGCCCATGCTGCTATGGGGAACAGGCCCATGGCAAAAGGACGCATCTCACTACCTCTCATACGGTAGAACCTGCCCGGTTAGAAACACAGCCAGAACACAGTGTGAGACCAGCTCTGCAAGGACGGGCACCAGGCAGCACACTCAGACGGGAGTGTGAGTGTCAGTGCGAGTGTGAACTTAACAAAGAGGGGGGCTCGGGAGCCAGACGGGGGTGCAGAGGAGACAGCCAGATGGCAGTCAACTCCAGGACAAGTCCCTGCAGCCAGGAGGGCAGGAGGTGAGAGCTGAGCTCACTGTGGACTCCCTGGACTGGGCCTGCGACCCAGCCTGGCTGTGAGGTAACTGGCCGTACAACCTGCAGAAGGGCATGAACTCCCTGAGCCCAACTCCTGGTTTGCAAAGGGGAAAACCAATGAGATGCTTCCCAGAATCTGCCCATCCACTTAGACACTACAGGCAGCTCAGAAATAACAACCTGAATATAGGTTTTTAGGGTATAAGCTTACGTATTAAAGCCACTTACTGCATGACACACACGCAGAATTTGCTCACGCGTACTAGGGGAGTATCTGCTCCCCATCTGTTTATCCATTAGCGTGTGAGAAGTGCCATTCTCATGTGACTTCATCAAAACAATCCAGATAAAATTATCCCTACAAATAGAACCGAAAACATTGTCTTCTCTTCCTATGACCATGAGACCATCGCTCCGCCTCATAAAATGATTACCTCCTGAGTATTCCATTTCATTGCTCCTTTTAGGAAATTTTTACTAAGTACAAAGCTTAGGGCAGACATCAGCCCCATTGGCTTATGGATAAGACCCACAGTCAAATGGCGGTTGCCCTGAGAACAGCATATTTTTATGGCAGTGTCTGTGACTTTGTGGGTCTGTAATTCATTCAAAACTGATCTTCTTAAAGCATAGACAAGAGTCAGGTTCTTTTTCTTGTTCTACTCGTAGTTTGAAATGGGGAGGATTACAACTCATGGGGTAACACTGGCAAAGAATACTTAACAGTTGTTCTCTAAGCCGTCAGCACACATCACATCTCAGACTGCTCCCGAGGGAGTGTAATGGGGTATTTGCCGCACGGGCTGTGCTCCCAGCTAAGCGTCTCTGGAGATCACTAGTTCTCTAGTTTCTTCAAGCGTCCCTGCCCACTGATGGCCTCTCAGCTGGAACACAGTCAGCAGGGGCACACAGGCCCTGCAGTCCTCCAGCAGACACCCCCTCAGTCCCAGCGGCACCAGGGGAGCACACACCCCGCCCCGTGCACAGCTGGACACAGCTGGCCAGCTTTGTCTTCAATGTTCCTGTGGGCCTCCAGGCCAGGAGAACCAAGAAGCTGGGGAAGGGAAGAAGTCCCATGTGGGGAGAAAACCTTACTTCTAGGCTCACTGTTGCCTCCAGACGGTCCAACTCAGAGAAGGGGTCTGACATACACTAGCTCAGACCTGGCCAAAATGACCAGGCGGTCAGGACCAGGCCCATGCAGGAATCCCAACCCTGAGATTTCAGCAGGTAACTAAGCCCCCATTACCTGGTACAAAGATTTATTAAAAATGCAGATATCCAGGCCCATTAGAGACTATTAGGTAGTTACCCAGGGAGCCACCTGGGCAAAAGAATCAAGAGGGTGTTTGGAAAACCACTGATGAATTACACAAAAACCACAGGCCGGCCAAGTTACCTCACCTACCTCCTGTTAGAGCCCATCGAGGCTTCACTCAGGACTGAGCCCCAGGCTGAAGCAGTCCTTCTCCAGTCTCAGAAAGATGGGGTGGGGGCTGCTTCCACCGGTCCCTTGGACTCAGCAGATACCCAGGGAGTACTCCCCTCTATGGAGAATGAGGCTGATCTTTTCATCTTTAACATTTTTTCCCTTTTTGACAAGATCATTTGTTTGTATCGGATGTGGAGTTTTGCCCAGGGTGTGTGCTGCTCACCTTACACCCATCACAGAATAGAGAATCTCAAAGTTATCTTTGGTAAGGAAAAGTCATCATTTAAAATTATGTCCTAAGCCTCCACACTAAATGCTACTGAACTTGAGAGTAAGTCGGTCCTTTATTGGCATGGTTTCTTTTTGCTTCTTATGCTGAAAATATCTACATAATATCAATCTCTCTGCTATTGTGAGGTGCTCTTTTCAAGTCATCTGAGACATCTTTCTTCAAAGAATGTTACTCACAAATAACGTCTAATGGAACCTGGTTGGGAAGAAAAAAGTGCCTAAAAGATGAGAATGATAAAAAGAAGCATTTCACAAATTAGATAAATGACAGCTCAAAAGCGGGCGGAATTACTTCAAGCCAGAAAAAAAAAAAAAAAAAAAGACTGATAAAAGAATCCAATGGCTGAGAGGACATACAGAGGTCATTTAATTCAATTTTCCTCTGAGAAACAGTCACCCAGTATAGTAGTCTATCCCACTTTTAAGGTTTCCAAGGATTATTTAAGAAATTTGTTTGAGTATCCAGTTAGCCTTGTGCCCGAAACATTTCTTTATGTGTCGCAGAGTTTAAGTAATGCATATTATAATCAATGACAGGGTTCTGTGCTATTATTTCTGCAACAGATATTAGATTCCTCTTTGACACTTTTCTTCAAACATGGAGAATAAATATGTACCCCATTTATCATGAAGGGTCAAGCTCCCTGTCCCATAATAGTTACAAGTCTTAACAGGAAAACTCTTAGGGACAGAGCCATGGTCTGAAGGCTCATCACACATTGAAACCTAATCACCGGCTCGGCGCCTGTGGCTCAAGTGGCTAAGGCGCCAGCCACATACACCTAAGGTGGCAGGTTCGAATCCAGCCAGGGCCCGCCAAACAACAATGGCTGCAACCAAAAAACAGCCGGGCGTTGTGGCGGGCGCCTATGGTCCCAGCTACTTGGGAGGCTGAGACAGGAGACTCGCTTGAGCCCAGGAGTTGGAGGTTGCTGTGAGCTGTGAGGCCACAGCACTCTACCCAGGGGGACAGCTTGAGGCTCTGTCTCAAAAAAAAAAAAGAAAGAAAGAAAGAAACCTAATCACCAAGGCAATGGGATTAGGGGTAGGGCTTTGGGAGGTGTTTAGGTCACAAGGGTGGAGCCCTAAGCAATGGGATTAGTGCCCTCATGAAAGAGACCCCAGTGAGCTGCCTGGTCCCTTCCACCCTGTGGACACAGAGAGCAGAGGCCATCTGTGAGCCAGGAGAAGGCCTCTGAGTCTGCTCATACTTCATTGTGGGCTTTTAGCCTCCAGGACTGTGAAATACCAAGTCTCTGTTATGTGTGAGTCTACGGTGTTCTGTTGCAGTAGCCTGAGCAGACGAAGGCAGCTGCAGCAGCACAGAGACAGGAAGCTCTACTCGGTACTGACAGGATGTGCTGGCAGCAGATGGGATTGAAACGAGCAAAGCGTCCGAGTCTGTATCACATCCATCCGTCACCTGTCACCTATGGACTCGTGTGCTCCAGTGACAACTGTCTGTGCTAAGACCAGGGAAACAGCACACAGATCTATCCCCTGCCATGCTCCGGGCCCCCCCCCCCACCGCCCGTTCTCACTGTCTGCTCTGCGCCTCTCCCCACTTCGCCCAGTTCCTCTTCTCTTCTGCCTCCAGCTCCCCACCATCCTCTTCTCTCCACCCTTCCCTCCACTCCCTACTCTTTCCCTCCCTCCTGTCTTCTTCTTAGACTCACACACACTACAAGCACCACAGTGTTTATTTGTCCTATGCAAACAAGCAGGTCATTAAATATATCAAAAGAGAAGAGACATCTGTTGAGGGCTCCTAAGGGTCAGAGCCTGTGGGAATAGCAAAGAAAATCTTCCCTCCTTCAAATGCAAAACCTCCTCATATGCTAAGAATGATCAAATGATAATTTTATATAAATATACATTTACTTGATACAGGAACACATATGGACATATACACACATAAACTAAATATTTGTGTACGTGTAGATATATGTGAGTCTAGGTGTATGTGTATATGACTACACAAAGTAAACTAATCACTAAACTTTAGGGGTTTTTATTACAAAATAGAAAGTTTTCTAATTATTTCTTATAAGACTTATTTTTCTTTTTTAGCATTTTGTTCTTCTCCAAGAGCTATGTAATGTCTTTCCAATACTTTTTCAAATATAGAGACTAAAACTAGCCATAGACACAAATAAGATTCAGGACATGGTAAAGAAGTGCTGTGTTTCTTGTGTCAAGCAGAAAAGTATTTTAAATCCTTAATGGACATTTACCTCGTATCAGTGGTGTTTTCTCTATTAAAGCTCAGTCCCTCTCTGGGAAACTGACGTCTCCCTCCTCTGATGCCCCAAACACTCATCTCACTGAGCTTCTGGTAGGCCACCCAGGCTGTCTCTTCTGGTACAGCGCTGGTTTCCAAACAGAGCCAGGTCTTAGTGTCCCTGGGTCCCTCAGTCCTGCGCAGAGCAGGTGCTCTGAAGACAGCTGTCCAGGGGAAAGTTATAAACTATCCTTGATTGTTTTAGTGAGTCATTTTCTTAGGGTGAGAAATGTGGTTCAAGGGAAAACCAAATACATAGATTAGAAAAATGGACAGATTCCACCATAGCAGCACATTATTGAACACAGAGGAAACCAACAATTTTTTTTTCCAGTTTTTGGCTGGGGCCGGGTTTGAACCTACCACCTCTGGTATATGGGGCCAGCACCCCACTCCTTGAGCCACAGGCGCTGCCCAAAAACAACTTTTAAAAGTTCCTCCACTCATATAACTTAACTCTTGGTCATCTCTGATAAAGATGGACCAGGAAGCTTAAAGGAAACATATGTAACGATTGTTCAGACTTGGGAAGAGATGGACAAAGCAGAGACCTGCTACCCCTGGAGCACCTCTTACTCTCGGGCATCACCCTAGAACTGTACGGCTGTCTTTCTAATACAAGCCAACTTGTGCTGCCAGGAGGGAAAGTCGTAACGTTCATGCTTCCTAAGCAGCTCTCTGCCACTGCTGTCCACTCGGGAACAGATGCATTTTCAGCTACACCGTTGTTCAAAAATAAGAGGAGTCCTGAGGAGAATCAAAACTATAATAGCTGCAAATTACATACACCATTGATCATATTTCTTTTCTTTTTTTTTTTTTTTTTTTGAGACAGAGTCTCACTCTGTTTCCTGGGTAGAGTGCCGTGGCATCATCACAGCTCACAGCAACCTCAAACTCCTGGGCTTGAGCAATTCTCTTCCTCAGCCTCCCAAGTAGCTGGGACTATGGGAGCCTGCCACAATTCCCAGCTAGTTTTTCTATTTTTAGTAGAGATGGGGTCTCGCTCCTGCTCAGGCTGGTCCTGAACTCCTGAGTTCAAGCAATCCACCCGCCTTGGCCTCCCAGAGTGCTGGGATTATAAGTGTGAGCAACTGTGCTTGGCCCATAATAAATATTTAGAAGAAAAACCAAGGTATTTCAAGACTTTATTAGTAACATATGTGAGTTAAAATATCTTGTTATAATCTCTTCTCTAACCCTATTAGCTAATAATCTCACTCTACCTTCTAAAACCAGAAATTACATAGGGATTGCTCAAGTCAGAGTTACATTAATCCAGATTCATGAATATTTGTTCCACAGATGTAAAATATAATGCCCGTCAGTAAGTGAGTTGTTTTCATGTTACTCGGAAGCTCCATCAGGCTCGGTGTGTGAAAGGACAAAGGACAGCGGGGACGTGCCCTCTGAGCTTTCTCCACTCTGTAATTCTTGGCCCTCTGGGCAACAATTAGGGTTACCTGAGCCTCTGGAATCATATGGGAGATGGTCGGAAATGCAAGAACTATACTGCATGCAAACCGTGTAGGCAGCAGCTCTGCACTCTGTCCCAGTCAACCCCAACACACCTCCTGCCAAGGCGCAGGATCAAAGACCCACACACGCTCGCCTCTCCAAACCAGCAGCCAAGTGTGACGAGGCACAGTCACTCAGAGCCCCTTGCTTCCGTGGCGAGAGGCAGCAGCTCTCAATGTCACAGCCTTGGGGACATAAGGACAAAGAAAAACAAACTGAGCTCTAAAGGCGGCATCTACCGTGCACGTTCGTGAACTTACCTTTTTCTTGGAGGCTTCTGACTTCTTTGACATGTTCTTCAACTTTTTATGCAAATGATTGAGGACCTGAAAAACACAGACTAATAAAATCAGTTTGCACCTCTCATCTCACATTCGGAAATGGCAATGTATGCTTTATAAAATCATTAAAATAAGAAAATATGCCCGGTGACAACACAGCAGTGAGTAAGAATTGCCAGGTGCATCTGTCTTCCTAACAATTCAATTCGGAGCACCCAGGAAGTGTGGCACGCGTGGGTCTGCATGGATAGCTGGGAGGAAGTATGGCACACGTCAGTCTGCATGGACGGCTGGGCGTGAGCTCCAGGAAGAGGTGTCCGCACCTGCCCCTGCACGCCCACTGGGCTCTCTCCCACCTCAGCTTCCCACAGCAGTCTACATGGTAACAGTCGCCAGGTCCCTACTAAATGTTGGGCACAAAATAGATCCCAGATCAGTCAAAAACTGGAGACCTTCCCTCCGGGCATTCACTGTCCAGTGTGGAATGGAAATGAGTGATCACATGTTCCTTCCTCACAGCCCCACCAAATGTCACTGACTCCACTGCAAATCTCCTTAAAGCAGAGCACCACCCTCTCTGCTCCTCTGGTTCTGTGTTCGAGTCCTGCCCACTGCACTGTGCTTTTAGGCAACTTGCCTTTTGGGTGTATGGACTGTTTCTGCAAAAACTCACGTCCCTGTCAGGTTGTCTCCTTGAGACACACTCACTTCCTTAATGACAGAAACTATTTTATATTCTCTCCAGTGTCAGACTTAGGAGAAATTATATGAAAACGTTTCCCATAGAGGAATTTCTGGCGTACATTGGTCTTGGTCTACACCGCCAGCCCTGCAGAACTATCACTTGAATTTCTCTCAATATCCCTTCTGGGGGGAAATCTAGAGGAAACTTAGCCTAAAATGACTTACGGCACAGTGCCTGTAGGTGGCTGAGTGAGCCTCCCGAGGAGCCGGAGGCCACCGTCCAGCCTGTTCTTTGCTCCCTCCTCACCCAGTAGCACATATATTAATGGAGCCTCTCCATCCAACTGGTGGTGGCACTCCTGGGGTAATTAGTCATGCCCTATTTAAGAAGCCTCAGGACATATTTCCCAGCCTTCCAAGCCCTGTGAGGGCTACCAGCCTGGATTGAGTGTGTTCTGACACCAAATTCCCGCTTGATTGGAATCCTTCTTACATTCTGAGGCAGTCCAGCGCCCTTTACAAACAGACAGGTCCTTACTTGCTGCAGGAGCACTGGGGGCAGCTCTCAATGCGTCAAAAGGGTATCAGCTCACTGTTCTGCTAAAAGAAATAGGGTACTAGCAACTGCGTGTAAGGCAAAGAGAGACAGGAGTTTTTTTGCAGAAACAATCAAGAATGTCTTGCAAAAGAAAAGGAAAAGGCTGGGGCAGGCTGGTTCTGCCTGAGAGCACAGGGCTGGTGACAGTGAAGGACAATCCCAGCCACCGAAGGCAAGGGACACAAAAGAAACCAGAGAGACAGATGATGATATCAGAAAGGGATCAGAGCACATCCCCCAAATGTCACCAGCTTGTTATGAAGCCTAGGTCACCTCATTCCTCCCAACTCTAGGTTGGATGACAGCTCAGTGGCCTCCTAACAGCTAAGAGTATCCAATACTGTTAAACTGGCAATGGAGCAAACACGGGGGTATATTTTTCTCCACTCTGTTTCTCTTCAGTAACTCACACTGTGAGCACCCGAGATGATGTACCGTGATGCGTTCCATCTAAGGTTTTGGTATCAAAGAAGAAAGACTGCAGGTGACCATGAGAGATCATGACTTCCATGACTGCGTGTCTTCAGAAGGTGGTGACAGATGGTGGTGTGCCTCCATCACGCTGCAGGTCTTAGGGCATGCACAGGAAGGTCCTGGCTCACACCCAGGTCATGCTGGCCACACCCTGGGGACCAAGAGCAACTGAATGGGGTAGGCACCTCAAGAGTTTATCACCATGGAGACTAAGAAACTTGTAGGATTTGGGAGGCAGAAGGCAACTCTGGGACGCAATTCTCTTATTGACTTTCAAAAAAAAAATAAAGAAAAACCACCCTCTAAGGTCAGATGCCTTTTTGACTATCTGTCCTTTTTTGCGTTGGCCATCAGACCTGGACCTTGGAGAAACAGTGAGTTCTGAATCTATCACTCAAGTACAAAGTCCTTAACTGGATGATGAAGACTTGTAACCAAAGCAAAGAAAAGCTACTTGAAAGAACGTGTCACCCCTACTCATTCATGGAAGCCCTGGAATGAATATGCAAATCCTGCCTTGAATTCAAAATATTTCTCAGTTATGCTTAGAAGCAAACTATTTCCCTATTTTAAAAATCCAAATAATGTTTTTATTAAAGAGTTTTTAAAACGCTTTCCAAGCTTTGTCTTCTATATGACTTTTATAAACTCTGGAATGACAGAAAGATAGCCTAACTTACCCCTCCAAGTTCACCTGGTCATTTCTGTGGAGAGGATTTAAGTTATTTTCCTACAGACTCTGGGGACATAAGGAAGAGTAAGCAGGGCCATAATTAGGAATTTAAAAGCCAAATGCTTTCAGAATCCCTCCATCCCCTTCATGGCCTCCTCTCCTCCGGAGATGGGGAATACCTCAAAGCCCTTCCACAATCATTCATCAGCTTCATCATCTGGCTCGGTTCCTTTCAACTCTTTTTCTTTGTCAAATAGAGACAAGAGCTCACAATCACAGAGTTCAAATTAAATGCAATGGTGCATGCATCATACAACTGGGCTGGGTACAACAGTCTTGGTTTCATATATGCAGAGGCTAAATGAATTAATGGTGCATTTCCCAAATAGCTAAGCTAGGGTTCGTTTGTAAATTCCCTACCTCCACCTCTGACTAGGCATTCTGTGAGATAATCTCTAAATTGACACTATTCAGAACAGGCACTATCTGTGTGGATGGCACAGGGGAGCAGGTGGCATTTGTTAAGCATTTTGCTGGGAGAAACTACCTTAGAAGTGGAAGATAAGAAGCTGTTCTCCTGCAGAGTCTGGCTGTTTATTTATGGGAAACAGGATGAGAGACAGGGAGAAGCTGGGTGGAAATTTCAGACCCTGCTCAGGCAAGTGTTTGCCGGACAGGGAGCACACTCTGGGGAGGGCATGCCGCTGGCTGGGGTCCACCCCATGAGCCCCACCCCACAATTATTAAACATGTATTATTATTCACTCAAACATAAATGAGTTATGTCAATGGCTTAAGACTTCTTGATTTGTAGAAAATCTTCGAACCTTGTGTAATTAATGACAGAGCACATGAGCTTGCTGAGCGCTGCCCGTGTGTAGAACGGGAGGACACCATTTCCCCAAGAAGAAGAACCCCTCCGCCCCCCAGGAGGAGAAACACCTCTCTCTAGGGCTGGGGATGGAGGTCCAGCACCTGAATCACTCCATGCTGTTTACAAGACCTTTCTAGAAAGGATTGAAACTGGGAAACGCAACAGCTCATGTCCACTCTATTCAGAATTCTCCGCAGATTCGGTTAAGACTGGGAATAAATACTCTTTTACCACTTGGGTTTGTAAGGCTAGATTTCAGAGCAAAATAACATCAGAAGCTCTGTCCCTGAGGTAGTCTCCCACACACACACACACCGAAAGCGCAAACTGCCAGCCCGGGGAGGGGGGCACCTAGAGTGGCCCGCGGAGCCTCAGCTGAGAGCAGGGACCAGACCGCCATTCCGCGGAAGGCCGAGAACTGACCCGCACTCTCTGCGATTCCTGCAGGCGCTGCACCAACGCCGCGCGGGCTGCTGTGGTCGGAGTTGCTGAACCGAGCGTCTCATCCACGGAAAAGTAGGCGTGGAGCGCTGCTGGGACAGCCTGGGGCGCTGAGGGGCCGGCGAGGAAGGGGAGCGGCGGGCACGGAGGGGCGCGTTGCTTATCTGACCGCTAGAAGGGCACCGCCAAGTCCCCCAGCATGTCTCAAACTCCAAGTAACTTTTGCACAGCACGAACAGGACAAGGGCAAGCAGAGGCGAAGGCAACGGGAGTGGGAAGGTGCCCCGTGCAAAGCAGCCCGAGCGCCGCCAGGTGAAGCCATCGGGCTTGGGACACAGAGACTCGGGGTCCCCGGCGCCCCTCGGCCCCCTCCCCGCCCGCGTGCCGGCCCCGCGCCCCGCCCCCACCTTGGCATAGCAGAAGCAGATGAGCAGCAGCGGCAGCAGGTAGCCGAAGACGAAGGTGCACACCACATAGGCCTTCTTGTGCCGGTGGTTGGGCCACTGCTCCCAGCAGAAGGTCTGGTTGCTGGCGTCGGGGCGAAAGAGGCGCTGGTGGTAGGCCACGGGCGAGGCCATGGCGATGGACAGTGCCCAGATGCAACCCACGCCTAGCAGCGCGTTGCGGGACACCCTTAGGGAAGAGGCGCGCCGTGAGTGCACTATGGCCACGTAGCGGTCCACCGACATCGCGGCCAGGGTGAAGATGCTGACCAGCATGGACACGGTGAAGAAGAAGTGGACGAACTTGCAGATGAAGGCGCCCAGCACCCAGGTGGGCAGCGCGTACACCGTGGCCTGGAAGGGGACGCAGAAGAGCAGGTAGGCCAGGTCGGCGACGCTCAGGTTCAGGATGAACAGGTTGGTGGTGCCGCGCGGCTTGCCCGGCTTGCTGCGCGCCAGCACGGCGATCACCAGGCTGTTGCCCAGCACGCCCAGCGCGAAGATCAGGCCGAACACCACCAGCGTGATGAAGTTCTCGACGCCGATGCCAAACAGCGGCTTCTGCTCCGCAGCGGGAGACTCGGGGCCGCTCCCGTTCCCCTCGCTGAGGTTCCCGGCCGCCAGCTCCATGGCGCCGGGCGGCGTGGTGCTATGGGGAAGGGTGCCTGCCGGAGAAAGTGGGACCAAAGGGCGCCGGGGTCCCAGCCCAGAGCACCGAGAGCTCGAGTTTCAGAGCCCAGACTCCCCTGCTGGGCACGACACCAGGCGCCACGGCCGGCAGCCTAGCCTGACGACGCCGTCCCTGTGTGGGGCCTTCCAAGAGAGGGCGGGGACAGGAACCGGGAGCTGGACCTTCTCCAGAGAGGGCAGCGGTCTCAGAGCACTGGAGTCCCCTTTCCCCGGTGCCTCCACCCGCTGCGTTGCCGGGAACAGGGAGGTGTGGAGAGCCCCCCCTCAGCCTTACCGGCTCCGGGTCCTTGCGGGCGGTTTCCCTAGCTCCTGGAGCGGCTCCGGGCTGCACCTGTTGCTCTGTGCGGTTCCTGCCCGCGCCGCTCCCAGCGCACCGCGAGCGCGCAGCAGCGCACCATGCGGCTCCTGCGGGGCCTCGCCGTGCTCCCTGCCGCCCGCTGCCCGGCGAGCCAGCCCCTCCGGGTGCTTACAGATACCCCAAGTCGTCAACAGGGCGAGCGCTCTTTTCTGTGCTTCCCGGCGGAGGGCAGAGTCCAGCGCTCTGCTGAGGGCCTCCCTGCTGCAAGTGAGAGGTGGAGACAGCCGGGCCGAAACCCCCGCCGCCGCGCTAATCACAGCGCGCCCCGCAGAGGCTGGCCCTATCGAATGGGAGGGTCGCCGCCCACCTCCCGGCTGGAAGCCGCGCGCTCTCGGCGAGGTGCGGACCGGCCGGGGCGGTGAGGCGGGGCCGTGGAGGGCGCTCCGAGAGCTGGCTGGCCCGCGGCTGGAGCGCAGGTCTCCCCGCGGGTCGGTGAGGGTGGGCGCGTCCGGTCCTAAGAAAACAGCGTTGGCACCGCAGGCTGGAGTTTGTAAAATTCGCTGCCTAATCCCCGCGCGCACCCTGCAGACCGCTAGGGAGGAACCAAGCGCGAAAGGTAAACGAACGGGCGGCTTGAGGTTCTTCGTAAACGTGTGAGAAACTGGAGGGGAAGGGACTCAGCTGTCCCCACTCAACCGGTGCTTGTTCGTCCGTGTTTCACTGATGCAAGTGAAAGCTGAGGGAGCTCTGACACATGATAAAGTGGAAAACGCCCGTCCTATCTGGTCACTGCACTGAATGTGAGTGTGCCCGCAGAGGCCGCAGCTCACCAGCGGTGGCGCTAGGAAACCGGGGAGCGTCCTGCCGACTGGAGAGCTGCGGTCGCTGCGCTGACCTGCAGTGTTTACGTGGGTTCTATCTACTCACTTCCCAAAACACTGACGTGCCTCCCCATCCTCCCAAGGGCGATTGGCTGCCCATCGCGGGCTGGGCACTGTCTTTAAGGTGCCCCCTCGTTGGGGGAGACGGGTTTTCACACCTAGCAGATAATTGTAATTAAAGAACACAGAGACAGGCAGGGCCAGCTGCCTTGGGCCGTTTGGGGGGTCAGTAGTATTTTACGTTTCTATCTCACTAGCTCTGTTCGTTCTCGTTCCCAAAAGCAATCTGATGCAGTTGGTTGAGCGTCTACTGGCTTAGCCTAGTGCTGGTGTTGCGCTGAAGCAGTACCTGGATGTGAGTTTACCGTGCGTGCAGCCGCGCAGACTGCACAAGAAGCAGGACACCAGCACCTGCTGCTGGTGAGGCCGTGGCTGCTTCCCCTCGTGACAGAGGGTGAGGCGAGCAGTGTGTGCAGAGGTCACACCGGCAGACGCGCAGGGCTCCCTTTAACAACGAGCTCTGGTGGGAACTAAGCGAGTGAGAACCACAAGGACACCTCCCCGATAGCCCCAACCCTCCCATCAGGCACCACCTCCAACACAGGGAACAGATTTCAACATGAGGTTTGCAGGATCAGACGCCCAAACCACAGCACCTACTGTGCGCCTTTCCTGCAGTCACTGCCCCATTTAATACACATGGTTCTTTTGCTGGGGAATTCCTTGCGACAGAATTGTTCTATTCACACATTCCCAGACCATAAAATTGAGTGTAATTAAGTTGCTCATTTGCTACATTTGAGAATGCGCTCACCTGCCCTGAGAGGATGCCCTGAGACTTGGCGGGCTGGCTCAACATCACTGCTGCCTTTCCCTGAGACCATCCCTGACCCAGGCTTTGGTGGTGTCATGTGGTGTTGGACTGCTATGTTGAATTGGAAGTTATCTGCAATATGATTTTGGAGAGTTTATTATTATGAACTTGACATGGAACAGATATGATGAAATTATACTGAATATCAATGTACTCACCATCCAACTTAGAATAATTTTAAAAATCATCAGTAGAGTTGAATTCACTGTCATAGCCTTCCCCTCACAGGCTCTACCCCCATACATGCCATCTCCCGGGAGCCTAACTTTGTTGACCATTAGCTTTTTTTTATGTGTATATCTCATGTCCACACGCTCCTAGATACATACAGTGGTAGTGTCTTTTCTTCTTTAAGATTATGTGGTGGGTATTGGTGTTATGACACATGCTTTGTTTGGGCTTTGCCTTAAAGTATAATTTGTCTGTTATTACTATAAAACATCATCATTCTTTGCATTCTGTTTGCCCTTAATATTTTTTGCAGCCTTCCCATATCCTATGATTCAGGGATATTTTTTTCAAGATAGCACATAACTGAATTATTTTAAAATAAATTTTGACAATCTCTAATTTTTCAACTAGCGAGTCTAGCTCATTTATATTTATTGTTATTACTCATCAATATGGATTCATTTTTAACATTTTATTTTGTGCTTTGTTTTCTCTTTTTCTGCCTCTTTTTTCTCCTTTTGTCACGACATCTTTTAGGTCGCATTTTAAGTGTTTGCTCCCTCCCTCTCCCAACCTTTTTGGGAGGATAAAGAATGTGGTCTATTTGTAGTATTTTACTGGTTATCCTTGACTGCTCTCTATGTGCCAGAAACTATTTTAAGGTGTAGAGATAAAGCAATTAACAAGAAGTCCCTTCTTACATAAATTTTATATTTTATTATGGACAAGATATTTTAAAAGAGTTATAACTATACTGTGTCCTGTGGTAAACCCTGTGATGAAGGAAGGCAAAGGCTTTAGAGAATGGGAGGAAACAGACGTTAAGAAGCTGACATTGGAATGGGAAGGTGAAGGGAGTGAAGCAGGAGGCTTTGACCTGGCATGCAGGGCAGCCTAGGAGCAACGGCAGGGAACAGGCTTGAGGCAGGATGTGCCCGACATGTTTGAAGAATGAGGAGACTGGAAACAGATGTGGAAAAGATTTATTTGTAAGCCCTGAGATCAGAAAAGTTTGGTTGGAGAAAGAAGGGATGGATGAGAATCAGCTTTGAAGAGCAGGGAAACACTATGATCTGACCTGAGATTCCTCTGGCGTCTGGAATAAAACAGGAAGAACAGCAAGGGAGCTGGCAGGGATTGAGACAACAGGTGGGACAGGTGTGCTGGGAAGAATTTGGATTCTGATATCACAAAGGCTGAGCTGGCTAGATTGGTTTGTGGGCGGATTTAAGGCAGAAGGGAGAGGGAGAGAATGGATGATTCCTCGGGTCCAGTCTGATGTCCTGGAGATGGGAACACCAGGCATGGAGCTGAGGCCAGGAACTAGGGGGGAGGTTTGGGGTATGAACTTTGATGCTCATCAAGCCCAGGGTTGACAGAGTTCAGCCGGGTTGCTTAGTCCTGAGTTAGCTAGAGAGGTCAGACTGGAGACAGGGACTGAGAAACTACTAAATTCCATAAATTTAATAATAGTTAGTAGAATTCAGAGTCAATACCTGTCATTTTCCTCCCCCCAGTCAAAATGCCCCGGGATGCTGTTTGTGCCTGCTCTCTTTCTCACCCTAGCTGGCTTGGCTGTCCACCTATCCATCCTTACTGTGGCTGATACAGGCTGTCCAGCTGTCCGTCCTTACTGTGGCTGATACAGGCTGTCCAGCTGTCCGTCCTTACTGTGGCTGATACAG